CTCTTTTATATACCAGACTACCCTATATCTAGTAAATGCTAGAGCATTCGCCAAAGTACAGGATAGTTCTAGAAAGTAGAGGGCGTGAGAATAGTCACGTGATCTCGATGACGCAACAATATGTTATGTAATTTTTTCTTCTTTCAAGAAAATTAAAAGTCTAAAAACCCTACAACTATCTTCATAGATTAAATGATTTAAACCATGAAATTCTGTAGTTGCCCATCTTGACATTCCTTCCAACATGTTAATATATTTCATGTAGTAAGTTAACAAAACAGTAGAGGATGCATCACCACTCCTGTACAATGCTTCAATACCCTTTTTGTTCATAAATTCAAAATCTTTTCAATAAACGTAAGAATTTGCCCCGTTTCTTCTCAGTAAACCCTCAGCAGAGATATTTATGGTTTCATCAACAATTACACCTAATTCCTTCTACTATTGAACACTTAGTATAAAGAAAAGACCAAACATAATTGAGTGAAATCACTAATTTTCTATGTAAAATACAAAGGGGATGCCTGAAGTAAGGAATTAATTGATAACAATTGTATTTATGATTACATTTTTATTTGTGTGGCTCTTATGTTTTTATTAGGGACCTTGCAACAAACAGTCATCGACCCACAAACAATTTAGAAATACATGTGTAAAAATGAACCCATATATAATGCTTGGGTTAAAGGACACCACTAGTCACATTCTCGTGGTCAGGAGAAAAATACCTATTTATCATCATTTCTGCTTTTTAATGACCAAACAAATTTTCTACATATTTACTTTTTCCACCATGTGAGGCTCTGAGATAGCAAATTTGACTTCTATTTTGTTTATTATTCTTTCTACCATTTAGATCAATTATGAAGATTTACTTTCATTAAAGTGCTAACTCACCTTCTATGTAAAGCATGTTGATTTTGAGTATGTATGTATTATTAAACTGACAGAAGCTTTCCCTAGTGGTGATGTACAGATATTAATGTTGTGAATGATTATGTAGATTTATGATAATAGCTAGTCACATGACATGTAACCAAATGGTCTAACCACAAATTAAAAACTTTCCTTAATATTGAAAATTAAGTTAGTTCATGAGATATAGTTAGAATTATTGCTAGTTATTGCTTGATATTGAGAAATGGTTTAATTTTGAAATACTGTGTCATTCTCTGGTGAATTAGATTTTTTTTCTTTTGGTTCCTTTTACCCAATTCCTTTGATATTCATTAAAATGAATCACACTGAGATTTATGTTGTATTGTTTATTAACATTTGTACTTAGTCCTGGCTAGATATGGGTTTACTAATCATTTTTAGTTGTAAGTGATAAAATTTGTATTCTAGTTGTTTGAAAGATTTATTTTGGCTTTCTGTTGTTAGATTTTAATAAGTTATTTTTGTTTGATCCTCGTTGAAGCAGCATTTTGTTTAGACCATTACACAGCCACTTTACTTATTTATCTCTGAAAGCCATGATTATAATAGTGTGGGATATGAATATATTGTACATTTCTGTCTTCTTGTAATATTATATTATTTTTTGTGTATGTGCAAGTTTTATATAATATGGTTGAGAAATACTTCAATCTCATTCTAGCTGGCTTTGTTATTGTTTAGTGGATAATAACTGTACTACCTGGGGGAAGGGATATAGTTCATCAACAGCAGTGCCCTTCAATGGTCATTCAAGTGATATCTAGAGGTTATGGCCTCATATATATTGTTACAGCAGCGGAAGTGATTGTGACGCTAGTAACACGTCATGAGCTTCTAGAAAATTCATGTCCGTTCATGAAGCCTCGTTTGTTTACTAGATGTGCGGTATTCTTGTATATAAGACTGCCAAGAAGTGACGGTAACAATCGGAATTGAATTGCTGAGATAGAGACGGACAATTGAGTCAAGCGCGTGAATCGTTCCTTGTGAATTATAGAGTTTGTTTAAGTTATAGCGTGACTGTGGAAATTAAGTGTATTGCAAAGTTGTATTAAGAAATAATAAACTAGTTTTATTTAAGAAAGGACTTGTATCGCTAAAGTTTCTTTGGAAAGAAGTTTTACGGAAAATTAACAAACGAACACAGAGGCGTAACAATATATTACATTGAGAATTACCAGCCATGTGGTAAATGCTAGTCGATTTGGATACAGGAAAGATTTCTTGCAAGCTAGAGAAATTTGGAATAAGCAATTGAGAAAATATAGTAAAAGTGAGAGTCCTGTGTAAGGAAAAGCAAGTATGCAAACTGTGATTTTTTATTGTTATATTAAAAATTGTTCTTTTGGCATTTTACTTTGTTTCCAGTCTCATCAGTCCATTTAGCATTACTTTACGATTGACAAGTTGTACCTGAGTATACGATATTACCAACTAAGACAAAAAAATTGTCAAACTATAAACAATTGATGAAGCAAGAAAACCTTACTGAGTAATAATATGAACAAGTTCAAACTAATACTTTATTAAGCCTTCTGAAGATTTTACAGTAAATCCCATCATGTCCAGATGCTTTATTCCCATGAAATTATTAAGTTTTTCTACAACAGCCACTTTAACATATACGAAAGTGAAGGAAAATCCTTCCCATCCTTAAAGAAACTGACAGCTTGGGAACCTCTTCTTCACCTTCACTGGTAAAACAGCTAGTAAAAAGTTTTTAGCACTTTAGACAAGTTTTCTTCTTCCATGATAAATTTATCTTCAAAATATTTGAAGGCCTAATTCTATCCTTGATTTTTTTTTCAGTAAACATGACTATAAAAATCTTTCAGATCAATTTGATGTTTGAGACAAGTATTTGCTTGTTTGTCTGTTTTAAATTTCGTGCAAAGCTACACAAGGGCTATCTGCACTAGCCATCCCCAATTTAGCTGTGAAAGACTAGAGGGAAGGCAGCTAGTCATCACCACCCACCGCCAACTCTTGGGCTATGCTTTTACCAACGAATAGTGGGATTGACCATCACATTATAATGCCCCCATGGCTGAAAGGGTGAGCATGTTTGGTGGGATGGGGATTCGAACCTGCAACCCACAGAGTGCAAGTGAACAGCCCTAACCACATGGCCATGCCAATGAGACAAGTAAACTTCATAATCCCTCTGAGCTTTTTTAATAGCTTTTATAATAGCTTTTTTTTACATATTTTTCTCTTTCAACATCACAATCTTCTAATCTACAAGTGAATTCACAATTTTACATACTAGATAAGTATTTTTTTTTCATTTATTAAATGTTATTCCTCTATCCCTGTATTTAGAGAAAAGGTTTTACATTGATATGTAAACATTTAGTAAATAAATATAATTTTAACTATCTTGATCACACCAACAAACAATCCCAAACATCATTGATATTTTACCAGTAGGTAAATACACAGTACTGTGTAAAGTAATCTAAAGTTTAAATTTACAATAATGGAACAATAGCAAATTTATATGGAGACTTGTTTGAAATAAAGAGGACACATGAAAATGTTGAAACTAGTATCCATATGAATCTGTATTGTTCCATTATTACGGATTTTAAATTCGTTATATAATTTACATTCTTCCCATTTAAATGAGATTAGCCATTCAATCTTTTAAACTGAAAATATCAATTTTTGTTTGAAAGATCACATTTTCTAAAGTTCTATAATTGACTTCAATAAAAATATTAAATGTTATGATCACAATACTGAAGTGTGCTTGCACATCTGAATTTTAAAACACATACTTCTCAGTACTAGGAACAAATAGAATTAACCCACTTCAGGTTTTTCACATGCTAAGTGTGA